TCTGTTGCGAACGGGTTTCTATTTGTACTTATCATCTTTTGAGAGCCTTATTCACATGATAGTGGAATTTCCCATTCAATAGTTCATTAATTAAAATTCAAAGCTTTTATTGGCCTTATTTTCAAAATCCATCAAATGAATATAGTTGACAAAGAAAAAACTTATATGGAAATAGATCTTTTAAAAATAGTATTGCTTGCAAGGGGAACATTTTTATCGTTGAATTACTTTCGCTGTAATTTTCATAGACTGTTGAAATTTAATCAGTTTTTGCAGGTTTCTTTGTCGGCGGCGGATTTGCTGTGTTCAGTAATAATAATACCTACTAGCATGTACAGTGCTTTAGCACCAGATTGGCAATTTATGGGTGATAATTCGTTGGTTTGTAAATGCTCAGTATATTTAGAAACAGTTCTGTTTGCTAGCACTGCTTATACTCTTGCATGGATTGGTATTGACCGATATGCTGCTCTAATGAAACCTCAAAGGTAAATTGATTGTTTTTATCTTACAAATTTACTAAGTAATATCATCTAATTTACCTTCCCTCTGAAGATACTTCTTAAATAACGAGAAATTCTTCTTTCGAGAGGTAAATTATGTAGAAAAAGATTCTTTATCTTTGGCAGTAGAACTTTCATTTTGCTAATTTTCCTTCACAAGCTAGACTAGTGAATTATTTGTAATTTATGTTTCATAGAATCGAACAGTATCGAAAGCTTGAGTACACTAAATGAGCATTTTCGTTAAATTTATTGTCTAATCTTTTATTCTATTCAGATACGAAGCAGAACAGACCATAACGAGGTGTAAATGTTGGATTGCGTTCACATGGAGTAGTACTCTACTCTTTTCATTGCCTATTATTGTTGCTCGCATGAAGGTATCTTTTTTTAATCTTTAAAGTATCACGACTGATTGTTTTCTATATTTCTATTGTAACAAGGCACTGTATTTGATGCTACATTTTAATATATTATAATATATGTTTCAGGAGTATGTGAAATAGCATTGTAAGGTGGAAGCGGGATCTTTATGAATCAAGTTTTAAAATTAAAGGACGAAAATTATGCTCTGATCTATATACTTCGCGTATTGAAGTTCTTACTTTTACTGCCTTTTAGGTCTCCTATTATCATGCAGCCGAATTGTGCCTGCTTGACTGGTCAGCAACGACTGCTTATAATGTAACATTAGCCTCACTTATTCTAGTACCTTCTACATGCAGTATATTATTCACTTACTGTTCAATTTTCTGGGCTATGCGGAATTCACATTCGGTCAGTTTTTTGTTTCGTTCTACATTCTTTTCGAATTGTGTTATTGTTGAAGCATACAATTACCATTTGTTTAACACATGAGTGGATAGCATTACCAGTTATGTCATTTTAGTGATGCAAATATTTAAAAATATTGAAATATAGTCTCTACTAGTACCCTAACATTTATTGGTGGCGTTTTTTATTTCCTTCAGGGATTCCATACGAAGAGAATCGATGTATTCTCTTGTGTAAAATAGCTAAATAAAATATTTCCAGAAATTGGAAATTTTAAATTTTTTCCGCCTTTCAGGCCTGTTACAATTAATCTTCTAGAATATAAAAATTGTGATGTTTTTATTGTTTAAACTCTTTCCAATCCATCGTGCTCATCTCATTTCACTGTTGTTTTTGGTGATATTTTTTGCTAATAATAGAGTGAATATCATATAGAGTGAATCCAAAAGGATAGTGGAAAGAATTTTTATCTAAAATCTGAATTTCCAAAAGTTTGTATTGAGATTGTATATTTTGGAAAAAATTTTTCTGATTCAATTACGCTTAAGAAAATATATCTCTATCAAGAGACGATTGATGTCATGTATTGATGATGGAAGGATGATGAGCTGGAAAATTTCTCAAAAGTGCTTGGAAAGACGCTTGGACGTTCAGAAATGATTTATCTTAATGAAAAATGCATTAAAGCTTTTTTCCAACATCTTTTCTTAAGCATAATTGGGATACCAAAATACCTGAATATTCACTGCTGTAGCCATATTCCAATGATATGTTCACATAAGTTTTGTTTGAAATTATCATTGAAGAATTTCCATTGTAATGCAAATTCATGTGAACATCATCAATTTACAATGTATTTCAATGAAAAATAAACAATGAAATTTTATAAGCTAATTATTGCCTTTTATTTTTTTTGTTGTGAATTCATGCTAAAAGTAATTGCAGCTCGAAGACAATCAACGTTTGTTGCTGGAAACGGACCACAATTTTGCTCTTTCCTTTTTCGTGCTTGTTGCTTTCATTCTCTCTTGGCTGCCTGTTATCGCCGTCCGTTTCGTCCCACAATCAATGCTAAGTCCAGCAGATCTATCAACGGTGGATTTTGTTTTTGTATGGCTTGGTATCGGTGGACCCTCCTCAAAGTTGCTCATTTCATTGTTCATAAATCAGGAATTTCGTGCTACATTTGGCCATTGTATATCTGCTCTCTGTTCATGTTGCTGTTTAACATCATCAGCCGCTCGTCAGAGGCGCCGACTGGAATACGGGAGCCTTGCTGACCGACGAGTCCATTCTAGCTAATATTTTTGCAAAATACTAGGATCCATTAGTTTGTATGAATCAGATTGTTTTATGCATTTAAACATCCTCTTTCTCCTCTTCCTATATTTTGTCACAATTAGTTGTTTACTCTGTGAGAATCTGAGCAGTTCCGGGATATTTTTACACCGCTGTTGATTTCTCTAAACCGATAGGGAAAAAGAATATTCATAGAGAATTTTGGGACAAATCGAGCATTGTATTAACATTTCCCTTTTAATTTTATTTCGACATTCTCTTGTTGTTCTCAGAAATTTGCATTATTACTATTGTGAAAGGAGTGTTTCTCTTTGACTTAACAGCTTTCACTTCCTTAATAATGGCTGCTCGTCTAAGTATCCTACTTTTGCATTGTGTATAAAAAATATTATTAGTATATTGGACCGTACGCTTCCACAAGACAAAGTATATATTTAAAATACTGTTTTCTCCGAAACAATATGTGATGTCGCTAAAAGTGTATTGTAAATCTATCTTTATTATAGACAGAAAGCAGAAAAGCTTCCATAAATACTCTCGAAAATTCATCATCTATTCCAATTCACATATTCAGTACCTCCACTCCCGATTAGGTGGATATTTGTATATAACGTTGATCTATTTATTTAAGCAATTCATTTATTAGTTGGTCTGTTCCTCATCGAAATTCACTTTTTTCTCTATAATTCCTTATTGTTTTTAAACTGATAGGAATTTTTTTGCTGTTTTCCTTAATTTTTTACTGTTCACCATAGGCTTGAAAAGATGTTTTTGTTACAGTAGTCTTTAGCAAATTTAATTTGAACTGAAATATAATCAATAAGACAAATATGATGACATGATTAAATCCTCAACATTTATGGTTCTAAGAATGTCTTAGAAGTGCTTCTGCTTTGTCAAAAAAGAATGCTTCTGCTATGTTGAAGTTCGTAATTTTTTTATATTCTGCTAGTGAAAAGTTGTTAGAAGATACAATTATTAATTCTGATTATTTCAACAAAACAAATAGCGCTGTAATCCTACACATTTTTCTTATGTAAAATGTCACAATTTGTCATATATACATCCCATTTAATCAAAAAGAGATTCTTCATTTTTATGGATTCAGAAGTTCTGTGTCGTTCTCATTGTATCCAAAAAATTCATTAATTCTACCTACAATTCAGATTTAAATGTTTGTGTGCTCGGAATAATTTTCCCTATGAGATTGCTTCAAGAACGAAATATTTAGGGCGTGGCCCATTTGGGCTATCGGGTATATTTGAATATGTTTAAAATGCTACCTGCTGTGATTTCCATCTACTTGACCTCCCAATTTTAGTATTCTGAAGTTTGCTATATTTGGAAATGTACGAGATGTGAACATAAAAACAAATAAATCATAAAGAAGTATCTTTTGTTACATTCACTTACCGTCAAATTTCATAGAAACCAACGTTTCATGAAAAAACGATCCAATATGAAATGAATTATGAAATGATTTAAGGAATGTAAAAGCAAGAATATCTCAAATCTTTCCAATTTGAGAAATCAGCCAGGATATTATCCGCCTTGACTGTTATCAAAACTGTTAGAAATAAGGTTCTTGTATAAATCCAATGAAAACCGGCAAGATATGGTTTTTACATTTGTGATTTTTTGGGATACTGGTTTTTCTACATTTGATATAAACACATTTTTTCGGTGTGGTCTATTCGTATCAAATCAAATACATTGTTTTTATATTTTTTGGTGTATCAATCCGTATCCAATCAAATACATGGTACGGGTCGCGAACATAGGACCGAGAGTTGCATATCATGGAATTATTTTTTCGTCCTTCACCTGAAACCTTCATTTTTTCATTAAGTGTCGGAAGTTTTTAACGTGAAGAGATTGACTGGTAATGGGTGGATGCGGGATTATGGTTAAAGGGTGAAGGAGCTGTGATAGATTTCATGCTGATTTTCTGAATTTTGCATAGCATTGGAGGTTACCGGCTCAAAAGTAAACAGTTCTTGTTTTTAGTTATATTTGACCATCATGAAAGACTGATATGTGAGCCCAATGGAGATTATAGACTCAGATACTTCTCCAAATTCCAAAGTAAATGTCTGAAATTAGTAACTAAGTTTTTAGAAACTGGGTTACTTTTCTTGCAAAACTAATCAGTTTACAGTTATAAAATTCAATCGTCCGCAGACGGTAATAGTAGTAGCACCTTAGACTAATGGGTCGATTAATGAGGTAGGAAGGAATGCACTCTTGTATTGAAAGAGGAAAGTGTCATGTTTTGATCTCCCCAACTTTCACTTTTATTTTTTTAAAATTCTGGAATTTTCAATAGAAATCGACATTTCAATTGATGTATTTCGTGTGCGTCATCTCTGGTCAGTTTGTTCTACATAATGCTTTTCAGATAATTACAGTGAATTAATCAGCCTAATGTTAGAATCATTCGCTAAAGAAAAGTCCAAAATTTCTGGTGATGAAAATTTACCCGAAACGAAAGAAGAAGTACAGCAGCAATCAAAATCAGATTTGGTACTATTAGTGGTATAACTTGAATATTTATTTTGTCTTAAATTGTCAGGCTTTTCATTCTTATGGAAAATTTGTCATATCCTAATCAGTTTCATTTCTGAGGACTGCAGATGTATCTGGAATAGTTAGTTCCAGACTTTGACGTAGAGTTCGATTGTATTTGCTTAACTACCAACAGGATAAGATTGACTTAATTGCAGTAGTTGCTTTATCAGATCATGAGTTCTCATTTCATTCTCTAATGACCAAATATACGTTATTTGATCAAATTCTATAGTTATTCCTTATAGAAACCAAGTTTTTGCAATGACAGTGAGCATCCCCTGGAATTCACTTATGTATTTTCTTATTTTGTACGTCCACAAGGGAAATTTGATCCGGAAGACTATGCTTTATATGTACAACCAGTAGCTTCATTCAATTCCGTGGAACAGTTCTGGAACACATATTGTTTCTTGAAACGTCCTGCTGGTTGGTTTTGTCATAATAAAATTTTGATGTTCGTTTTCAGCAGACTCTAAAATTCGAATTAGTCTAGCCATTCTCTAGTTTTTAGACTTTATCCCTCAAATTTCGTTGGAAAGGCAGCACAAGGGGGAATGCAGATAATAAACCTTTTAATGGAATACTTCAAACTGAGCTTTGTCTAGTAGCCAAGATTTCCGTCGTTTCACAAAAATATGAGTGAAATTTTTGATCATAGAAATTGGTCTGATCTAATTTGCAGCAAATACAGATTTCAGATATCACTGAGAAAGTAGATTTCCACATGTTTAAAAAGGGCATCAAACCTGTTTGGGAAGATGACGCGAATCGAAAGGTTTTATTTTGGCATCTTCTGACACATTTTAATATATATTGAAAACTTGTGTTATTAATAACTGGAAGTTACGGTATTAATTTTTGATTTATTAGTAGTATTTAGTGTAAAGGATAAAGTTTGACTTTTTTTATTTAGGGTGGTAAATGGATTTTACGTTTGAAAAAGGGTTTTTCATCGAGAATTTGGGAAAATTTGATATTAGCAATGATTGGCGAGCAGTTCCTTGTTGGTGAGGAAATCTGTGGCGCTGTTTGCTCCATACGTAATCAGGTTAGTTTTGCAGTTCAATTAAAGAAAGATTCACTGTATCTATTGATGTTTTTTGTGATTAAAAATATTAACTTTTCCAACCACTAGTTGGTTTTCTTGCATATTGGTGGGCTTCTTTACAGTGAGGTTGCTTTGTTTTTGCGTTTGATTAGTTTTGTGTACTTTGACCTCCATGGGATTCAGAGACGGTATTATGACTTTGTATAACTGTATTTCTGTTACCCCTTTTCGTTTTGAATGTGTTAAATAGCAGTCTGTGTCTTACACTTATGTTGAAATTGTAGGTTCCGAATTCTTTGATAGAAAAGGTAAGAAATGCTACTTAGATTTATCATTTTTATAATTTGTAATTCTTCAGCTATTTTTTTTCTTGTGGTGTCATTTATAGGAGGATATTGTTTCGTTGTGGAATCGTACGGCAGATAACTTGGCAACGACAAACCGTATTCGTGATACCTTGCGACGGGTTTTAAATCTACCTCCGAATGCTATTTTGGAATACAAACGTCATGACGATTGCTTAAAGCACGTATTTGTTTTTGTGTAGTTGGGTTTCTTGCCGAAAACTAAAAAAAGTAGAGCTAGAACTGATGATCATTTAAAAGCAGACATGCTTCTGAAAGATTGTTAAGCAATTAGAAATGATTTGGAAACTTAATAAAAGATTATATGTCTGCTCCAGCTTTGAAAAGTTTTTCTTTTTAGACAAAGAGTTAGTAAATGACTTTGGAATGGGCAAGCATGCGATGTTACTGTTGTATTACATAAATTTATTGTTTATTAACACTTCTGCACCTAACTCATTTTTATAAGAGAGAGAAAGAAAGAAATGTTGGACAGGAAAGGAACAAACGTTTCATTCCTCATTTAAACTTATGTTTAAATCTATTCGTGTTTCACTTTGTTGATTTTTGACTTGCTGCTGAAATTAAAAAATTATTAAAATATATTCCAGGGACCAAAGCAGTTATCGCCATACAAATGTGGACTTACCAAGAAGATAAAATAAATTGTTTCTTTGTATACATTGAATAAGCATATCTTGTATGTATTTTCACTGAATAAAACTTTCTCGTAATGTATTCCTTGTAAATTTATATTAAAATTCTGCAGTCGACTAAAATGTTTTTAAAATTTCGAAGTCCCTCATTTCTCAAACTATCAAATAGTATTTTAAAGCAGTAAAAGAAAATTAAGGGGATGCATTATGATTTGAGATGGCCAAGTGATTGCTTTTGGGAACAGATGAACAAATGAACGAAGCGAAGCAGGAGATTAGTTTTCGTAACAAATGTGTCTGTGAAACTAGTTGATATATCAATGAGCGCGTATATGAGTAATATTATATCTTTCCTCCTATTCGACAATAATAAGTAGTCTCAGTGACAATACGGGCAAAAAAGTAAGGTAAAAGGAACTTATGGAAATTTCAAATTGAATTAAAACTGAAATTTTTCGGTTCAGTCGCTATATTTGTATTTTTTATGGTATAATCTTTTGCATGTAGCACTTAGAAGATGTCAAAAAGCTGAAGTTATGTTTTCTTCCTTACAATGGATACTGTTGCATTCATAGCCTGTCATCAATTTGTACGACTGTTTTATTCAAGTGTTAGATGTAATTAAATTATACTTGGAATTTTTGCAACTTTCAGCTTCTTAATACTGTTTACTTTGAAGTTATGGATGTTATTTTGTCAATTTATTTATATTTTCATTTCTTATTGCTCTGTTCAAAAACATTTCAGTTATAGTGTGAATAGTTTTCTCCAAACATATTTTGTTTTTGTAGTCCCTTGTGGTAAAGTATGATGCGTTCAATTTTTGCACGGTGGATTTTGAACTCAATTTCTGTTGATAAGTATAAGAAAAAGTGCCTGAATTTGCACCATGCTTATAATATACGTTTTTTGGCATATAGGTTATCAGCCATTATTGATCATCTTTATTAATTAATTCATTTCTTAATAGCATTAAAGAAAACTTACGTTCTTGCGGATAATCTGTATGTTTTACTTACTTTCGTAGTTATCTTTTTGTAATGTTTGTTCGAATAAAAAGCATATTTCACATTTCCAATTTTTAAATTAGGTAGATTTATAATGATTTCATAATGTTCTAATTTTGGTTGTATTGCATAGGTTTATGATTTCAAGCAGGTTAAGTAAAATTGTTAATTTTGATAGATTTACGGAAATGAATAATTTTTTCGAAATTGTTCGTGATAAAATTTGAAGTTATAATTACGTTATGGTATCAGACAGAATACAATTCCGAAACAGAACTGTTTTTTTTTGCTACTAGTTGCTATCGAAGTTATCACAACTAGATGATTTGTCAGTAGGTGAAATCCCAAATTTATAATTGACTGTTTAGTAATCGTAAAAACATGGACCGTTCCATCTGGCATTTTCATTGACCATTCATTCATTATGAACAAATGCTGCAACATGTCTGCAACGCTCGCTCAGCTTTGTTATCAGCAGCTTACTGCACTCATTTGTTTTCCATTATCGTTTCTTCCTCCGCTCTTTCATAGTTTTGCCATTTGGTGATAAACAATCCTGCATTGTTTTCGACATTGTTCGAAATTGATGCAACTTTCTTCTTACCTTTTTCTCTTACCGTTTACAATAGAAGCCGTGATTATATATTGGCAATCTATTTCAAAAAAGTTGAATTTTGAAAATTGTTTCAAGCTTGGTTCTAGAAATAGACCGATATTGTGACAAAATTAATGATGATTTTTCATTTTCTAGTTTTATTTTTATCGTTGTTGAATTTTCATTGAGGACTTTGTTTTAAGATATGAGTATTATTCATTGAGTTACCACCGTTTCCATTTCTTGTGAGGATTCATATACCTTATGTAGGATTTTGGTTAAATTTCAAAAATAATGTGTTACTTTCGTTGCCATTATTTGTATGCAAAAGTGATTTCTACAGTTTTACCATTTTTTAAAGCATATTTTAAAAAAGCTAAATTATTCGAAATTTGTTACTCTGTGGATTTTTCTTTATGTTCTAGCTGATATATATGCATCGATGTATTCCCTTCCCTCAATGGCTATCATCCACAAAACATCTCTTATGAAGTCACACTATGTTGATTTAAATGTTCACTTTTTCAAAGCAAAATGGATATATATCTATCTATTTTACTGACCTTTGACTTCGTTTTGTATCTTATCTTTACATTAAAAACAAATTAGTAAATTTCTTGGTTGATTTTTGGATCTCAAATTGTTCGGCTGCATCGAAGTAGTACCGAAATTGAGGATTGACTTCGGAAATTCTTCCGAAAATGTCATCGGCTAATCTATATGAACTAGCTGAATTTAATCTTTGCACTTAAAGTGGTATTATGTATTCATCTAGCAGATATTAACAACATTACATGTGTTCTCAAATTGTATTGGAAGTTCATCTGTAACTAAAATACTTCGAGGAAGTTGAATTAAAACTGTTCCGATCTATCTTTTTTTATAGTTTGTTTATAAGTTTGATCTTCTAAAATTTTTTTCCTTTTTTTAATCAATTTTAACTTCTATATTTCGTCATAGTGCTTATCATCAAGAGAAAAAAAAAGTCCTGTTCTGGGAACTACAAGCAAAATCTTTTAACCGTTTTGAATAATTTTTTGAGAAGTTCCCTCTTGTAAAAATTCGAATGCATGCATAGGGGAAACGTTGCGTTGAATGATATGGAATTGTGATATGCAGAAATTCTTGAAACATACACATAGGATTTTAAATAAGAAATATTCTGATAAATAAACAGGGTTATGAAAGAGTGGATTTATATGTTCAATAATATCATGGCCATTTATCTGTAACTTTATCATTTTGCTTTTATGGAATCTGTACAATTTAAGTCAGCGCATTATTACATAGTGAACGAAATGAATCTCATATGAACAGTCTTTTTTTATTGTCTTTCAATTGCAAAATTTTCAGTTTTGGTTTAGAAACAAATCATCGGTTTATAGGTTATTTTGTTTTAATCAAGAACTTCAATGTTGAAGATGGTTGATAAAAAAGACTTGACGAAATACACAACTGAAGAAGTTGCGGCACATAATAATGTCTCTTCTACATGGATAATCATCGATAACAATGTTGGTTTACTAGATGATCAGCAATATTTTGATTTGAATTTAGGCCACTGGATTTAATAAATTGTCGAGAGAAGTTCCAGTTTTGCTTTTTAATTACACTGATTCCTTTTCTCAGTTAGATTTGCTGACTGATTTCTAAAAATGGGCAACCGTTGTGTCATCTGATATTTTCAGTCGATTGGTACTGACAACTTCGCTGATTAAATCACATCTATCAGATGATGTCATTTAGTTTAACTACTTTTGTAGGTCTACGATGTAACAAAATTTTTGGAAGAGCATCCAGGCGGTGATGAAGTACTACTGGAGCAAGCTGGACAAAATGCAACGGAAAGTTTCAAAGATGTTGGTCATTCGCGAGATGCGGTGGAAATGACTAAAGAATATCTGATTGGTTATTTATCCGATGCGAATGCAACAGAAGCTGCGGGAGATAAAACAAATTCATCAACCTCACCAACCATCGCTAAAAACGGTGCATCATGGGTAGATATCATATTCAGTTCAACGTGGAGCAATTTTCTGATCCCTTTAGCTATATCTGCTGTCGTATATCTTCTCTATCGAGGCATAAAAACTGCTTTTTGATTCTATATCTTATTTTTAATGACTGTTTAGAAAAGGAATTAAATGTTGTACATCACTTACCTAATCAGATTTATATTTGAAATTTGGCAAAACTTCACGCTTTTAAGTACTTTCGTTAGAAGCTAAACTTATATTTGTATCGCACTGTTTTTGCATCGTTTTTGCGTGTTTTCAGCATTATTCCTTTCGAGATCTTAAAGTAACTCTTTTAACCTTCAAAACAAATTTCTTGTTACACTGTGTTATGTTGCTAATATCACAGTTTTCATCTCTTGATTTATATGAAACAAATGATTTGACACAAGCTGGTGCTGCATAACGGTAAGTAAATATGTCGGATGAGAAATCTAATTTCAAACTTCATGGTAATACGAGTTTAAGCTTAGGCATTATATTTCAGTTACAGAATGATTCTTTGTTCTACGAGACACATCTCTGTGATTGAAAAATATACTCACTTATGAGCAGTGAAGGTATAAGTCAGTAATTATTGTTGAAATGCATTATTTGCCATAATTTTACATATCTGTAGTAAAATTTGTCTTATAGTATACACGTGACAACTGATTATTCTCAATTTTTTCCTCATATTCTCAATTTTTATTGGTAATTTTCAAGCATCTATCTCTTTGCAATCTTACTTTTAATGTGGTAATTGATAATGCGATAAGTAAATTCTCGGTACTGCAGTTTTAGGTTCATACGCCCATACGTTTAAATTTATATATAATGTTAGGGAAAAAAGAAAAAAAGCATTAACCTATATGCAACATCTCGCGCTTGAAATCATTGACTATAAATGCTATACTGCTACCAGCAAGTCGAAATTTGCAAGGTAAATGAGAAATAATGAAGGACATGGCTTCAGTTTGTTTTTTTACAACGGCAGTAGTGATTGCTACTAATCAAACTTGTAAACATTGTTATGGGTATCAATCATTTATTAAAAGGACAAAAATCATTTATTAAAGAGACAAATTTTGAGATTTGGAGAAAATTAAAAGTATTGTTTTTTTTTTCGAGATACATTTGGTCATTAAATATCTGCCGTACACAGCATTAACCATCAGACTATTTCAACGCCTCATTTTGTTACTGGCATCATTTCCGAGAGTCAAATTCATCCATCGATCTGTTATTTTGGCCAATGAATTAGTAGTGGAGGGCACTGTATAGGTAATACGATAAATGCGCTTCGATTTGGCACTCTTTCTTATGAATGGAGAAAAGCTGTCAGGTATTACTACGTAGCCATAGAAACATGACAGCAACTCCAAAGCGATCACCGTCCTACTTTCGGATGAACAGATACAATGTTTCATAAGTATCCACACAAGCCTTTCACGGGCTATGAAGTTGTGGTATGGACTTCTTATATTATTCGTATGTTACGTAGGTTGGTTACGCTGTTGAATTTTACCGTCAGAGCCTCTTTTAAATAAATGAAGTATTTTGGCAAACTATTTTTCACCTCGATGTTTAGATTGTCTTCTATAGGCAATGTTTTAAGCTAAAATTCAGTCTTCATTTTTGTAATGTACTGTTGGATCTGATAAAGCAGGTAAATGTAGATATCTTTAGATTTTCAAGATACTTTTTGAAATGAAAATGACTACATTAGACTCAAAGCTATAGTTGTTGGGTTTCGAGAAAAGTGATATAATATATTAAAAGTGCTAGAAATTAAATTGAAATGAGGTCAGTGTTGGTGAGATTCAATCATAATTAGGTTTCGCATTTGTATCTTATTGAATTCAACAATACTAAAAGATTTATTCGGTTGTTGAGATTGAGTAAATGTAGATATTTCTCATTTTCAAACTGTTCTTGCACAAAATGAAAAAATCACAATCAAATTTTGAATGATGAACAGATCAATGAGAAAATTTTTGAGCACACGTCGAAAATTGTTGACTAATCGTGTAGCGATTAAGGCTCCATAATAAACAGCACTGAAAAATATTTTGTAGATACAGCAATGGATGTGATAAAAAGAGTGCTGGAGCCTCAGTTTACAAGGATATGCCGGAATACAATGTAGTAGCTAAGATAGCAAACTGGTTATTCAGTTCATTCATTCATATCGCCGCTGCTGTCATTGCCATCTTACTGTTATTATTATCGATAGCACGGAAGGGGCGTTTTATTAATGAATGCGCGAAGACTGTCAGATTGTGATCATTCGAAAAGCGGAATTTGCACACGGTTAGTAAGTGATCATTGTTCATTTTAAGTTGCGTAGAATAGTTAACTACAGAATAGTTAACTAATCTTTTCATGGTTTTGATAAACTAATTGAATACAGTAATGACGAAAAAAGTGCGGAAATCAAATAAAAGCAGCACAGAATTGTGAAATAACGGATGTCCTGAAGAAGGATGCATAGCGATTATTGATATCCTGTGAAGATTCCAGTGGCATGTGAGGCTGTTTGAACTTACTGTAATGGTTCATATGTAAAAGGCCGATGGACTAATCTTGTTAACGTATTAATAATTTTTTATAAATGCAGCCGAAACGAGATTTGTTTAAATTAGTTCACATTGTGTTAGCAATACAACCCTTCGGCAATCCACTTACCTTTCCTTAATTTACTCAAAACCTTGTATACTTGTTTATTTATTTATTATTAATTCGTTAATTAGGCGTTTAGCATATCATTAGTCACAAGCAGATAATTTGATTCTGATGTCAGTGGCGATATGTAAAAAGAAAAAACGGAGCAAAATATACGCACTTATGCGTTGATTTATTTGTTCATGCCTTTATTCCTTTTCAAATTGGATTATTTGAAAGTGATTAATGTCATGCAGTGCATAGGTAGACTACATCGTCTTCATTTCTGTCAAAGCTATATATGTAGCTTCATTTCAGTAATTTGCCATTACCTTTAGGCGTCAGTGTTATCTTCGGGATTGGAATACTGCTAGCATGCTTGCATTTAATTTATCCATGATAATGGATAGACATAATAACAAGCATATTTTAGCACTAGTAAAAGTTCCAGATAATACACTCTTTTTCCGGAACCGGATTTATAAGATATTTGATCCGCTCCTCAATTTTTCATGATTACCATTACAATTGAATGGTGCATTTTGCAAAATCTCATAAATAATATTTGCAGTAATTCTGCAAATATTACTGAACGCTTTGTCGTTATAAATAGGTTTCAATGTGTGATAGTGATTTAAATTTAAGATATTTCAGTAATTCGAGTATTACATTTTTTTTTTTCATAAGCATTTCAAGGTTTATTCTCTACTTTCTATCTTCTTATTGTATTTTGTATTGTCATTTTTAAGTCATTTGCAGATGCGTACTTGAAAAAGCCTTCAATTTATCAAGCAATGAAACTATCTGTATCACACAACCACAGCGTCTTTCCTGTAATAGTTTGCACACATTATGCGCAAATAATGTAACGAAATCTCATCTGGCTGCTGTATACTCCATCGATTCATGCCAAAAAAGCATGGACTCTGAAGATGGTATTGACGTATTACTTGCCGACAAGGTTTATGTTGTCATTTTTGTTAAAAAGGAGTTTTTATTTTCTGGAGTTTTCATTCTTGAATTCCTGAAAGGTTTTGCCTAGGGTGCTGCTAGTCTACTTTATAATTTTGATATAGACGAGTGAAAAGACGAGTACAAGTATCACTTAATATATTCCAGAAATAGGTTGCCGATACATAAAATGGACTTAATGACCATTTTAACTTGTATTTCGTTTGGTAATTGCTACAGCTTTTGAATGTTGCTTGCACTATACAACCATAGAATCATATTCTTGTCCTTTATTGCTCATTAGTAGTTTCGCTGGATTATAATAGTAAGCACGATGCTGCGATGTTATCACATGATATGTCAATACTGTATATGATAATTATCCCCTCTGTTAACGGAGATGATTCAAAGATTCAAGAAAGGAGTTATCTGATTGTATCATTACTCATCAGATGAATAACAAATATTAAAATAATTTTTTGAAATGGCGAATTATTTATATTTGCAGGAGAGCAGTAGTGTATCACTCTTTGTTGATGATAATTCAACAACTGCCGTACTCGAAAAAGGTATCTCTTCGGAAAGTCTAAGTTTGGGGCCACGTACTGCTGGGGATGGTGCAGATGACGAAGAAAGTCTAACTGGTACTATTACTTCTGGTGATTACATATGGCAGGAAAATTGTAATGATGGACATACATCCAAACTCGATGTATCTGAAAAACATGTGGAAAAGCGAGAAAATCTCGCTGAAACATGCACCGAGCCAGAAAAAAGAGATGAAATCATTATGACGAAGCAGGATAATATTAAAGTAAAACTTAAATTCATCATTCATTGGTAGACTTGGCACATAATGATTGACTTTTAAAAGCAAAATCAGTGAGTGCACATCACGAGCTCAGTAATTGGATTAGGAGTACCATCTGTCAAAGTTTAGATACCTTCCAGCTATATTCATTTCGATCGATTGAGGTATTCAAAGAGATTGTGGCTTGAAGCAATTGGAGTATTGGATTGCTTAATCAGGTGTCGTGAAAATTTCTGACTGGTTGACTAAGCTGTTAACTGGTTTCTATTTCTTTTAACTGTTTAACTATACACAAAAAATATGCCCCAAGGAGCATGAGATTCGGCACTTCTTATGAATTTCTCCTTTTCAAATTGTTGTCCGTTTAGCTAGGCGGAAAAAGATATTTGAAATTACTAAAGAATCATTCTGTTAGAGCAAAAGGGACTATAGCATCTGAACTTAATAAAATGTAGAGCATTAACGTCCTAGTTACTGAGCTAGAGTTGTTAGTGCAGTATTACTTGTTTTTCCCTCATTTATTTAAAAAAACTTGCTTTTCAGAATTTTTCTTATTTTGCCGTAACTAATCGAAGTTGGCTGCTGAGGTTATTTGAATCAGATTTATTCGATATTCGAATAGCTCTACGGTATCTCTCCAGTTGTAAAGAAGCCGGTGTTTTAAATTATTTAGGTAAAATCATTAAACCATCAAGATTTCCAACTTAATCGTTTCTTGTCTTCCAGAAGTACTTACCTAATGCAAATCATTTTAAAAATCCCTTATGATTCTCGAATTTGAATGGAAGTAGTTGAGTATATGTGTTTCACTTTCAGGTATTATTTTTTTAAGGTAATCGACTTTTTGATCTGCCCACTGAAATGGTGGATTTTTATATACCACAACTTATAGTACTGTATATAAATATGCGGGAAGTTGCGGAAGTTATTCATCCTTATATAGTCAAAAGGTTTGTCCGTGAAATATATTTGGTGCCTGCTTTCGTCATCAGTTGGAGAAGTTTTATTTCGTAGTGATGCTTGTACTAAATATTAATGAGAGGAAAAGAGCATTTGAAATGTCGCTCCATAAAGCGGCGAAGAAAAAGGGTATGCATACTTCTCACATGATTCTTTTGATCATGAATATTTTGACACTTTAGTGAGGAGTTCTTAAATACTTTTGCGATTGATTTTCTCAGATTTCTTTGCTTTTCATTTTATAAAGAAAAAAATTCTTTTAAGATGCAGAGATAGTGTTGAATTTTCGTTAGAATGTTACTGGTTATTGGGTGCTTATGATGCCAACATATTTCGAAAATTCGAACAAAAATCTCACGGACATCATTTACGGCACTCAATTTTAAATGAATTTCGTGAAAGATCATATAGTCTCAAGGCAACTGCAATAGCGTTGTCACCGTCAACACAACGGCATTTTCGGGCACTTTCAGAAGCCAGTAAGTTTTTTGGTGAATTACTAAAACATCTTATTTGCAAAATCTGAACAGCTAGTTACTGGAATAGTATTTCCTCTTTCACTTTCACTGAAGAATAATACTCTTATTAGGAATGAAACTCCTAATAATAATAAGAGTATTAGTATAATACTCTTATTATTATAAGGAGTTTCATTGTTTCAGCGAATTTCAATTGTTCTTCAGCCTTCATTTGCTTGAACAGATAAGGATAATAAGTTAAAAGTGCACTTAAAAGTTTAAAAGTGGAGATCCATAAGTTGTTTTTTGTTAAACTAGTGTATTCTGAATTAAAACAATTTTCTAAGAGTTAATGCAGATCCGTGCGAAACAGTATTCAGAGGAACTTCATTTAGCAACTAATTTTATGAATTCACAGAAATAATTTCAGGCCTGTTCAAAGCTGTTGATAAAGCACAGCAAGTAATCCCAAAGATACAGAACAACGATGAAGTTCTGAGTAATAAAAATATTCATGCTGCAGAAATTTTTGGTGATTTAACTAGTGGTAGGTAGTTTTTCATATAAAGTTTTCAACAAAAATACATTTGCACTCAAGTATCATTTGTTCTGACTCATATCTACGTCGAAAACATCATTTCGTCGGTGATGGACCATTCTCCGAATATCATTAGTCCTAATTATTAATATGCATTTCCATGCTGAATGGAATGAAGTAATTCGAAGTGATTCGTTGCGTGTGATGGCGCTTAGAAATAAGCTTAATGTTTTAAAGTCATTTCCAAGTTCTATTAATCTTAATTTAGGTCGTTTTTATCGGTTTTTAAGGTGACATCAACTAATTATGAAACCAAGTCCTGCTGCTACCGTAACTTCTAAAATTTTAGAATTGTATCTAAGTGAATTAGAAGTTTTGGCAAATTGATTGCAGAAGAATTAATCTTTATAGGTGGCGCTTTTGACAATGGTTGTTATTGTTTTGATGACGAACGATGCATAACTGATAAAGAGAATGTGATGAAAATGGAGTGTAAATGTGGAGTAAGTTTATCAAGTTAAAAATCTTAGTGAATTAAGCTGAAAAGTGTCAAGAAGAGGAGAATATCCACTATTTAAATCTTAAGGCACCTTTACATAGAGTAAAAGCATAATATATTTTACAGGCACTTAAAATTCAGCCGGGACAAGAATTCGTGAATGCTTTGATGAATATTGGTAATAAATTAAAAGTCTTTTCAAGCAAAGATAAGCGAACCCGTTGTTTGGTTGATGAACTTTGTAAAATTAATGTCAATCTTCCTGCACGTGTTTGGTTACCACTTTATGCACATTCACTGAAACATATTGTCCTTCGAATACCACCACTTGCTGGATGCATACTGAATAGCAAAGACAAAGTATGTCAAATTTTTAATTTAGCTGCAAATATAGTTTACGAAGGCTACAGAGATCATTATTTCGACTTATTTATTTGGGCTTCAGGAGCAAGAGATTTTACTTATTTTTGATCCATTGCGGAAGGTTATTCACTGCTAATAATTTCATTGGTGTTCATTGATAACTTGATTTTTAGGCTCCATATTGTTTGTTTGTGGAAGTGCTTGAAGTGGAGGATATACGACAAACCAAAGTTCCCAAACGTATCAGTGATATTGAAGCAGCAGAATATCAACGCAAAGGTCGTGATATTTTTGCATCAGTGATGGAAGAGGATGCAGTAGCTGAATTTAAAAAAAACACTAAAGAAGTTAGTTTTGCAAATTTTGTTTAAGGAACTACAACACATAATATCAATTGCTAATTTTGCAAAAAAAAATCTGATCACCTTTCTAGGTGAAGATAAATGCTGTGACCTCAAGGACTATGTTCTTGTCGTTGCAAAAAGTTTGCCAATCCAAATTCAAGTTGAAATGAATGTGGAAGAGATAAAGAAAGAGAGGAAAGGGATTATAATGTGATAGATGCAGATATAAAATATTTCGGAGTACCTTGCATCCATTAAACTTATTAAGGGCAGCTAGTGATCGCTAATCAATTTTTAACTGCAGTAAAGTTTCATTATTGAGAGTACTTGTAGATCCGGACCAAATCCAATGATTCCGTATGTGCTGATGTCTCCGTGAAATCTCTTTCTTCGACAGGTATCTCGCCAGAATCCAAGGAAAAGGGGAATAGTGCTGATATTCGAAAACGATTCTCGCTTTGGGTCAAGGGTCCAAAACGTCAAGTAAGTTTTATAATGAAATAATTGAAATTGAAATTATTTTTGTTTTATTTATTCTGCAAATTTGAACATCTTGTTGCAAGATTTATCTTTCTATTTCCTTCTTAACAATTAAAGTGAAGGGGTCGGATGAATAATGGTGCGCTAAAGTTTTCGGAAAAGAATTAGATTTGCGAATGGAAATTGAAATTTTTTATTACGCACATCAGGGTGAAGCGGTAATTCTCACTTGTTTATATTCATTTTGTTTCATTTCATATTAAAATTTCTCCTCTTTGTTAAAAAGCAAAAAAGTGATTTACTGACACTTATAATTTTCAGTTACGCGATACACCTGATGATCCATCAGCATCAGCGATGAGTGAACCCTGGGAGGATAAAGTAGCACGAATAAAGCATTCTTCGCCATATGGACGTCATCCTCTTTGGCGTTTATTACCAGTAATCGTGAAAACTGGTGATGATTTGAGGCAAGAACTGTTGGCTTATCAATTGCTTTCCGTTTTGCAGGTATTACTTTACGCGTCATTTTTCGGTTACTTTGACGAAATATTTTGATTTTGAATTTAAATTCCGCATTTGTCTATTATTGTTGATTTTCTGAAGTCATTACGCCCAGTAGTAAATATACTGGTTTCATTTTCAATTTCATTGTTTTTTGTTATAAATCAGTTGAAATCTGTAAATTTTGTCGAAAACGAGTGAAAAAAATTGGTATCAAAACCCGTTTTCTTGTCTGCTTTGTCTTTCTATCCTTTCCTTACGCTTTCTTGATAGTGTGTATTTCTGCTTTTGGATTCAACCCTAATCTTTATTACATTCTTTATTTTTCACTAAAAATCAAGCAATATTATTCGAATTAGAGCCATTCTTGAGCTCTTAATTTCAAAACTTATGCATAAATAATGCCAGTTTAAAATAGAACGAAATCTAATTCAATGTGTAATGTTATCTAAAAATAAAAGATGAAAGCTAGTATCAATATTGATAGTGCTATAAGTCCTGTTGACTGCTTTCATTTTATGTACTTCATTTCCTTGATTCAGAATATCTGGATCGAAGAGAAAGTTCCGCTGTACCTAAGACCATATAAAATAGTCGTATGTTCGCCAAATTCAGGAATGATTGAACCGATATTAGATGCATCATCGTTGCATCAGGTATAGTTCTTACTACTATATCCAACTTTTTTCCTGAAATTTTCAGCTCATTTAATTTGTGGATTATGATTTTTGAAAATCCTGTGCATAGCTTTTCAGTTACTAATATGGAATAAGATACTTTATTATGACAGCAGTTACTAGAAGAGAACAATAATGCCAAAGCTGTTTTTCAGATTAAGAAAAATATGATAATTCGTAGTCCAACATTAGGTGCAATGCAGCCGGCACTATTGACACATTTTTTTGAAACATTTGGTCCTCCAAGTTCTGAAGCATTTCTTGTTGCGCAGCAGAATTTCGTAAAGAGTTGTGCCGGATATAGTCTTGCTTGCTATTTCTTACAAGTCAAAGACAGGTTGGAATTTTAGTTGCAAAAAACTATATTTATTGATAACAAACCCAAGACATTGTTTACACATTTTCAACTATCAGATTTTGCTGTTCTTGTGACTTTCCATTCATTTACTTTTTCTTAATTGAACTGATTTGAATTCGAAAAGTATGGTATTATAGCCCACAAGTTGGCCGGAGCGAAATATGCCAAATGTTAGATGACATAAGCATTTTCATTCTTTTTACTTCTTCCAAATGTCAGATTATCTTTTATTCAATAGCGAATCAGTTCGATGACTTTGTACTTGAAATTTCAAGCATCAAAATATGAGAAAAAAGGTTATCGTCTCTGAAATCCCTGCAATGTTCTGAAATGCTTGAAAGTTGGAGAAAAAAGCAGGATTCTTTCATTTAATAGAACAGAATTCATCCGTTTGATTAATTAATTTAATTTTCCAGTTTCGAATGAGGTTTTAATTACAGACACAATGGTAACATATTATTAGATTCTGAGGGACATTTGATACATATCGATTTTGGTTATATACTTTCTATATCACCAAAGAATTTGGGTTTCGAAACTTCACCATTCAAACTAACACGAGAAATGGTTGATGTTATGGGTGGTGTGGATAGCGATATGTTCGGTTACTACAAAATTCTAATTCTGAAAGGTTTATTAGCAACGAGGAAACATTACGAACAAATTATCAGCATTGTTGAGATAATGATTAACGGTTTGCGTTTGTTTGTTTGTTTGTTTGTTTTCTTTTCTATTATAATGATAATAGAAAAAAAAGCCTTGTGTAAAATCTGGTTTTATTTATAATATTTCGTTACATTAATAGTTTTCTTGTTCTTTCCCATTTGATTTTCGGATACGTTTGAAGCATTTGAATGCGTTTTAAAGAAAAAAGATTGTTGAAGGGGAGCCATTCCTTTTTATTGTGAAAGACAAGAATTAATATGAATTTTTAGGCTCACAGTTACCGTGTTTTCGTGGTGGAAGCAACACAGTTCGTTTACTGAAAGACCGTTTTCATATGAACTACACTGAAGAACAATTGCGAATGTTAGTGGATGTCATGGTTGAGCAAAGCCTTGACTCGATTACTACAAGACTTTATGATAATTACCAGTACTATAGTAATGGGATATTGTGAAGGACAAAGTTCTATTTTGCTTTTCCAAGAAAAAAATAAAAGCGTATAAAATGGAAAAGGAATTTAGGAATAAATATTTGCAAATAAAAGCTTTTTTAAATTCATAAAGTTGAGAATAAATAAAAGTTTTACAGTTATTAAATTAAAGTTCGAGTTTTTGAATAAAACGTGGTATTGTAGAGAATTTTTGTAAGCGAAGTGTAAAATTGATTTTTTATAGAGCTGTCTTTCAAAATTAGTAGATTTATGATTCTCGGATTTCAAGGTTTAATTTCGTTAATTTATTGTAAGCTCGTAAATTCCATTTTAGAAATATATGTATATTTTAGTTGATATAGGCTTAAAATATTGTCCGATTGCTTTGCGTCTGTTTTGGTATAATTCCATTCATCAGGTATTCTTTTCCTTTGCGCCATGCGTCAATGCATTTATTTTGCTGAAATATACCTATTAGTTTGCTTCCAGTGATTACATACTACTTTTTATATGAACTCGAATTTTAACCTTTTAATTACTTTTTCAAATGTTCGTTACAATTATCGCTTTCACACAACAGTTCCCTATTAAAAGCTCATTCCTTGTGTCTGTGTGTACTGTTAATTGAATTTACTGTCGGTCCTTCTAAATATATTTTTAATTCTAATTGATTTCTATGGGAAAAATTCGTCTCTCTTCAGTTTTTACATTGGATTTACATGATCGAAGTGTAAAGAACTAAAAATTTTCGTTTTTGCAGTGTTGAAAATACAGTTGAGAATTTTTCCTTTAAAAACCGAATCGAATAAATTGATATTACTAAGTTAATAAGCAAGGAAGCTCTGCTTGATGTTTTAAATTATTGGAATTATGAAACTGGGCGGATGGTAATTTTCTATCAAATTTATGGTTGATCAAAATGATATGTTTAATTAGAAATAAGAAATTTTTAGATAGAGATGAAGAATTTTTTGGTTGTGAGATTTTGGTCAGTAAATAGTCCTTATTTTCCACTTTCTCCAAGCCTGCTATCACCTTATTTAAATTGTAATAACCTGATTAACATGTCTAATTTTTCTCCTCTGGTTGCTCACAGTCACTGTTGCATTCGATATTTGATCTAATGTAATTTGAATTAGTGAGATTTTGTTGGTATTTTTGTTTACTCTTTTCATTTATTTTATTTGGCAACTCAATATGTATGGAGGATGTTATGGTTTATTATATAATTTCACTTCTCATTTGCCTCCATATCCCCACCCATGCTTGTTTTTAGGTTAATGCAAAAGTGGTTTTATATTATAGGGATAGAAAAATTATTTATTCATTGTCAAAAATGTATTTATTATTTTGCTACGAAAACATGATAAAATTTGCTATTCGATTTTGCAGTTAGTTTTGCCTTAAATATCCAGTGATCGCTCAAGTGGTGTGCATGTTCACGCCACTGTACTTACAGAAATCTGGACTTCGGATTGACGTTGGGCATTCGATGTTATTTGGCGAGAAAATCAGGCGTTTCAATGTTAGGATTTTTTTCCTTTGGAGAATGAATCAGTTCAAATTTAATTGCATTCAGCAATTACAATTCAATCCAATATGGGTTTGGATAAACTTCGGATATTGGAAACTTCACTTTTTGATTTGGAACAAATCGTAACTGTGCAATACCTAAGTAGGCATGCTGATATGCCGATCGATGATGCGAAAGAGTACATTTTTGTTTTTCACAGCATAAATATTGAAATTAAAAATGTCAGCAGTACATTGTTTAAAACATTATTCAGTGTTACTGTATTTTTGCGTTTGCTTATGTTTAATAATGTTTCATTAGGTCTCTTTACTCAAATATGATTGATACTTAAATTGCATTGTCTAAACTTGCTTGTTTGATTTCATGTATAAAGTAGCTTCAGTCAAAAATTACTTCGTACAGGATTTTTATTATGGTGTGACCAAATGCATCTTTTTTTCAGTGAATTAGCTGAATTTCTAAAACAGAACAAAAGCAAAACAGAACTACATGCAGTGTACGTTGTGAGTGGCGAGCTCAATGTATCAGATCCTACTAGTAGCAGTAGTGCAGCTAATACAACAGCCACTCATAAGCTTCGTCGTACGCAGTTGGTTCGTGATTGTGATTTAGAAAAGATTCGACAAACTTACAGGAAAGTGGAAACATGTGAAATTTACGGTTTACATACAAAACCCATTAAGGTCACTGTTTTGCTTTTTTTAAAGTAATCAGGATACATTTTCTCCTTTAAAAATATTCAAGATATATATAGAAAAGAGTCAAATAACAGCATAGTTATGACACAATAGTCTTCCAATTGAAACTCTGAAAATTAGGAAGAAATTGCTGTTAATAGTAAGAAATTTACCGCACCTTTTAATGTTTAAAATGTCAGATTAATTCGTTTTTGTATGTTTAAGAAAATGATGGCTTATTGTTTTACATTGTTTTATTCTTTCCCAAATTTACTTGTTCATATTGCTGTTTTTCTCATTTTGTTTTAAAGTTAGTTTAATTTTTCTTCAAATGAAACGCTATGCATTAAATGGGAAAAATTAACGCAGTGAAATTAATATGTTTCCTTACTGCAGTAAATGTGCGAAGGTTTGCAGAGTCTTTGTCTGTTGTATTCCGTTGATAGTTTGGAAGATGCCGAATATGAGCGGACTGATCCTCAACGGAGTTGGTTGTCATATCCAGAAGCGGAAACAAAGACAAAAGAGATATTGGCACATTGTAGCGCTATTTCTGCGCCTGAAATTCAGAAAGTTAGTTCTTTATTCATTCCGACAAATATTTGATTGTTTAAAATCAAAGGAAAATTTTGATTTCACTTAGTCAGTCTTTGTTCTAATTGGTGAGCGTTTTTCAACGGCTAATGCTACTTGTGTTTGTCGCATCAGTTTAGCGTTTGCTGTTGAAAGATTAATTCCAATAAAATTTTCAAAAATAAGTGACTGAAAAAAATAGCTCTGCACCAAAGGAAACGAAAAAATAATCGGCTTTAACAGTAATAATATTTTAAAACTGTTGATAACCATAGTTCGACTATGTTGGAAAATACATCAGTGTATAAGTTGTCTTGGATAACAATAATATTGTAAAGATGATAAGAGATGGCCAAAAAAATAAAATCCTTCATATATGTACTTGTTTGATTACCTACGAAAGTTCGGCTAGCTTCTTTGCCATTATTAATACTGTTAGTTAATATTAATTGCTTAATGTCTTGTTTTTTAAATTTAATTAGTAGAGCTTCTCGTTCGAAAGAGCTGACTGTTTTGTTATATTTAAAATTATTTAAACCTTTTATATATCTCTTCTCTTATGCCATGTTTTCACATCTTTATTAAATAATGCGATTATTATAAACGGGTAATTTCAGAAAAGGACACAGAAGAATTTGTTGTTGTCTACATCAAAGTCTGCAGAACCGATGGCTAAAAGAACAAAAAATAATAGAACTTCTCTATTGCAAGCAGCAAAGCAAAATAAAGAAGAAATGGTAAGTTAAATTTCTTAGTTTTTTTATTAATGTTCATCTTAGCCATCGTCAACGACATCGGCTGCCTCTTTATGCACAGAGAAAATTTCCTAATACTCAAAGAGTAGTATGATATATTTTGAGGTAGAAATCTTTCTAACATCCTATTTTTCTCTAACTTACTTTCCTGAGTACCACTGTCTCCAGAGACTGATAGATACTTAGGGAAAGAGTCCGCATTAAAAATCTAAGTTGTTTAAATCATTAGACTAAATCACTGAAGCTGATGGCCAATATATGGAATGTTTGTAAAGTCTCACCTTTGATTATGATGGACTCCCGGAATATTATAATATTTCGAGCCAAGACTTTAAATTGCATTGTGTTTAAATTGAAATGTGTAATTAAAATCTGCTTGCTGAGAAATGATTTCAATAGACAATTCATATATTTTTGGTTTTTTCCGGTAAGTTTTTAAGCAACTGAATTGTATTTTAAATTTAAATACTTCTTTATTGCCATTTTTCTAAGCATGTGAAACAAAGCTTATAAAAAATAAGCAAAAAAACAAGAAGCTTACAATTTGTAGGCATTGAATTAGCTATCTTCAAGGTAACTTATTTTTATGTAAATATTTTAAGCCTTCGGTGGATAGGATCTCGCAACAAAGAAATGTTGGCAAAAAAGCTAATATAGTGTCAAGTGAAGCCATAAAGTAAGGATTTTCAATGATTGTTTTTTTCCATTAGTTTTTCATAGTTTGGCGGTTCTGTGCAATTTTTCCTCTCCCCTTCGTAAAAGTTGCATTGAAGAAAAAAAGGACACACTGTTTTTTGATTCTACTTTGTCTTTTTGTTCTTACTTATAGGAAATACATTATTACATCAGAGTTCTTAGCTTTTGATTTTAGTTGCAGACGCCGTGGACAACGTATTATGATTGGTAGTAAAGAAGAAGATATGGGCAAAGAAACTGAATCCCCTGAGAAGTTAATAGAAACAATGGTTCCCGAAAAGAAAGATGTCATTGTGGGAACGAGCAATGCACTCCTAAGTTCACATTAAAATTTTATTTTATAAAAGAAGGATAATGAGTTTCACGTTAGTGAGAAAGCCTAAATATATCGCAACACCATAATGTTTATCAGATTCCTGGAATTCGACAATTTGAAACAAAAATTTAAGTTGTGATTGGGTTTCGTAGTACTATTCCGAAAAATTTGTTTCCCGAAAACTTCAATGATTATATTAAAAATTGTTAATCGTTTGAAAAAGAAAATATCTATTAAAATTTAATAATCGTGTCATTTATATTGAGCATATAAATGTTTTAGCACAAGATGATTTGTTTTCTGATGCTGATTCCAATCCGGACAAGATGGATTGTGAGCAAAACAGAAAAAACGAAATTGCAGAAGAAAGAATAGATCCGAAAAAATTGCCTCAGATTTGTTAGTTGTTTCGAATCCTTGTTTCGAATTTTCATACTTTTATAAAAACGAAATCTTTTGCTTCATTTTCAATAAATATTTTATTGAGAAAAAAATGGAGCGGATGATTTAAAGATGAGATTATCAGTGAATAAATGTTCACGTGATATGTTTAATGAAGACTTCTGAATTAAGCTTTGATTTTCTCACCCAGTTATAAGTTTTGTACTGATTACATCAGGTAATGACAGTTTGAAAAATGAAAATAGTTGCGGAAGCCAGAGAAAAGCGATACGAAAGGAGCATGGCACCGAAACTTTTTTGGATGTTGATGGTTTTCTGGGTAAGCTTTCTGGAAGCAATAATAGTGTAGAACAATTGTGTCCTTTGTATCGATATATTTGATGTAATTGTGAAGTTAAGAAGTGTTACATAATTTAAAATGCGAGTTATAATTAAGATCCTCTTTCTAATTGCAGTTACGAAGCAAGTATTGAAAGAAATCGAACTTGAACCATCATCAGCTAATGCATCTACTGAAACGCGTAGCAAAATAACGAAAACTAAACTTCTAGATAATAAAGAGCGGAGGAGTACTAAAGTACCACAAGGACAAGCAAAAATCAGTTCATTTTTCCAGAAAAAGTGAAAAAATTGAAATTTTGTTCTTATAGCCAGTTCTTTTGCGTTCTATAAGAAAATAGGCTTTTTTCATGAATATCAGAAAGAATCAGCATATGAATGTGTTGTTGAGTGAAAAGTATCAATGAAGAACGAGTTCCACTTAGAATAGTTGTCTGGTCTTAGAAATTTTTCTAGAATCATAATCTTTCTGCAGTCAGAAAAATATCTGGAATAGAAAAGGAATTTTCTACCTAATCAAATGATTATTGAACACTTATTTAGAAACAAACGAAACTATGGTCTCGGGTGTTTGATGTTATTATATGAACAATCTTTAATTGAAAATAATTCCATCGTATGCTTTCCATGTTATTTTTCCATAAGTGGTAAAGCTTTGAAAGGGTTATCGGACATAATTGTTATAAGAGATTTTTTTTTTTTATATCAATTGTTTTTGGAAAAAGGATAAAGGAATCTGAGAGGAAAATAGTGAGAAAAGTAAGTTTTATGTCTTAAAGTTAAGCGTTTTTGATAACAAATGAACGAAAGAGTTTATTCAGAAATGTTTACTTCATTTTTTTAACAATTTTATCTTACGCTCATTAATGGTCTGGTCATCTCTCCAGTATGTCAGTTTTCTATGTAGCTCTTTTCATTTCTTTTTATATTTTATATCCCATTCAATTCGCTTTCTGAAGAATTTTCAAATAATTTGCTTCTTTTCAAGCTGACTTTTGCAACCGTTTCTGTTGTTTTCTATGTCGCTTGATATTGCATTTTATATTCCTTGCAAATTTTGCTAAATAAATTTGTTGTGTCAAATTTCAGCTTCTTTTTGGGGATGCAAATTTTCCAAAACCCAAGTATACTATTGTTCTTTCTCGTCATTAGCTTCTTTTCAAGTAAAAGATTTGAAATAATTGTAAGTTCAATTATTATAATTTTCCTTCGTTACGCCACAAGTCCATTTGTTTGCATTTTTGAACTCACAGATAGCTAATTCACTCGAAACAAATGCTCTAATCATTATTTATCTATGAGGACAAATTGTTGGATTTTGAAGGTTAAAGTAATTCTCTTATATGATTTTCTTATTTCATTTAAAGATCATAGTTCGGCGTGGAGGAATAATTGATGACAGCTGTTGGAAAATTTTTGTTGAAAAGTAACTTAGACGTGGATGAAGTGGGATTCAGAATGGTAGATCGTGGACGTTTTGCATGTTTGACAACAGCTCAATCTTCTCTTATCATCGATGAACATTTATGGATAAGTTATGCTTGGTTCCCATCTTTGCTCAAATAAAGGGCAATTTTTAGGGAAAAAAGATGTGACCTATTCGCTAGCTTTTGCTACTCGTCCATTTATATATCACATCATCATTCTCCTATTTGAAATTATTATATATCATTGCTTTGCTTATGTTTTAGTAAATCTCCCCAAAATTTTATTAGCAAAGGTCATTATCATTGCCTACTTTTATAGCTAACACTCAAATGCTACGCTATATTTTACGCTACATTCCTTTTATTTCTGGTCTTTGTTTTAGGCAGAGCTCGTAATTTTGGTAAAGTGGTACTTTTATCAATTGTTCTTTCAGTCACTCATTCCAAGCAGCGCAAATGGCAGCACTTGTGGAAGTTTGCATTTTATAATGTTTTATTTTGGAGATAGTATAATTTTGCTATCATAGAAGAATGCAATCTCCTCTGCAGTATTTATTACCGTTAAACGATACATTTTGAAAATTTCTGGGTCTCATTTCACATTTTACTATGCCGCAGTCAAATGACAAATTTTAAGAAATGAAAAATCGTTCGTTTTATACATATATAAAATATTTTATCACAGCATCCAACAATTAATTCTATCCTTTATTTGCACCAATTTAATTCTTCAGTGAGGCTCTAATTCCTTTAATTAATTGTATACTGTATGTATATCCATTATTTGCATGTGTTCAGTTTACGAACACATCAAATACCTTACACATATAAACAATTATTCAAATGATTACCACTCAATTTAGTCCACTTCTTGAATTACATGAGGTCTTTTTTCCTAGTAATTATTGCTGTTAACTTTTTTCCTAATTGTTGTCACCAACCTGAGATTAATAGTATTAAATAATAAAAAGCATCACACTTATGGGATAGACAGAAACTTTCCCATCTGTTTCATCTTTACTACTTGAGTTTTCCTTTATTAAATGCGTTCAGACCTAAATGATGAAATCAATAATGATTTAATATGAAACCCTCCACTAGCAGAAATAACGCAAGAAAGGCCTTCTACTATGATCATCTCTGGGTTCACTTACAGGGATCATTGCTGTCTCGTTATATTTTGATTGGAAGAGCCGATTTCCTCTATTTCTATTCGACAATAAACCATTGGCGGTTATTGGGCACTTTGGCGCCAAAATCTACTTCAAAAATGTTGACACCCTACCAGGTTAATCGAGTTTTCATTTTCGAAATGCAATTTCAGTTATAGTTAAATCAATTCTAAAATTTTATTTCTAGAGGAGTACCATGTGTATTGTAATTAATTTTTTATCAGAATGGGCATCTTCATTCTCACTGCCATAAAATGTAACAATAGAATGTTACCTCTAAAGTTAATCCATATGCTTTGCATTTTTAAAATACGGACTAATTTGAATTTTAAATTGCTGTAGTGAATTTTTTTCGGAATTGGGTGGAATTTCACAAATCCTATTTTAATATGGCCATAATTACTCAAGATTTAACAGTAGTTTTACAGACATTTTTTGAAATCAATAGGTTGACTCCTTCGAGATTTAGTTATCATATATATATATTATATAGCGTAAAAGAAAAAAGTTTTTGTTAAATTTAAATTCTAAAGATTGAAGAAATTCTTTTTGACATTTATGACTTTCTTCGCTGTAGGAATCAATAGCACGTTTGAATGGTTTACAAAGTAATGCAGGAACAATTCGGAAATTACTAAACGAGCGTGGCCAAATGCCCGATATAAATTGTATTTTGACAAAATGGTGTCTCGAGAAATGCAATATTGAAGTAAATGTTTTTATTTCATATTTGAAGAATATATGTTGTGAATTTAAAAAATTATTATTCTTAAAAAGATTTAATTTGATTTACCGTTATGTTGGAGTATTACAAATTGCTAAGAAAGGAGAAGAAAGTTTTGTTAGGGAGTGTTTCATGGAATTATGTCTGATCGAAAATTTATATTTTTGACAATTCATACTTCTTCCAGGTGTATCAAGTTTGCTTTTAATATTACAATGTATTTCAAGAATTAATTCAAGAAATGTCTGCAGATAACTTTTTCTCCTAATTTTGTAACAATTTTGGCTGACGATGTGTTGCAAACTCAAAAGGTGTTTGAAATTTTAGCTTGAAGAAATTGACAAATTGAACGTAATACACGTGAGTGGCACGAAAGGCAAAGGCTCAACGTGTGCATTCACTGAATCAATCCTACGACAACTTGGATTTAAAACTGGCTTCTATAGGTGAATTATGAATTGCTTAATTTTATTGACACATTATGTTGTTGGTGTTATGGTGTTAGAATTATTATATGTTTTGGTACGCTTGATGGGTAGTTCCAAAATTTGAAGGAGTTTTTTTCCATATCTTATGGGTGAAACATTTAGTCATAAAATTTATCATTAAAGCAAATAGAACATATATAAATGACCTTTGTTGATTATTATGGAGTCAATACTTTTTAATTATGATGCAGCTGTTATAATATATTTAGTAATGTGGTGAAAATAAAGGGAATATTGATAAGAATATAAAAATAAAAATATTGTGACTTGAATATGATCCGCTGATTAATATTGAACTGAAATGGAGAGAGTTCATGAAGCAGCTTCTAACGAGTTCTGTTTAACACAGTCCATAAATAGGTTTGAAGTTTATCAGCACAAATCTTTTCTGGAAATTGGACACGAAATAATCAATCCAGCGTTATAGTCCTTTATGCAAAGGATTGATTTGTGACAGAAATAAGATATAAGTATAGTTATGACTTCTGGTTGCAATGTGTTGCATAGAATTCAAATTCACTTTCATGTATTGAATTTCACTTTTACAGTTCTCCACATCTTGTACATGTTCGTGAACGCATCAGAATCAATGGTGATCCATTATTGGAGGAAGATTTTGTCCGATATTTCGAGCACATTTATAACTCCTTGAAAAAAGCAGTCGAGGTACATATAGACAACATGATTCTCAACAGTTATTTTCCTTCAGTATTTTTTAATTTAAACGTTACATTCACTAATGCATGGTAATCTCTCCGTCATATCTTTTTTGTGCGATCATTTAGACATTACTCCAGTTGACTTCGATATTATAGAAAAATCGAACATTCTAACGCCGTTTCTGGCTTGTATGTTTTCAATGATTTCTTGGATCGTTTATTCTCCCGTTGTTCCGCCAAAATTACCAGAATGTTCTATGCTTAACTCTTCAGTAATATTCATACTAGGGTTGTTTGTACGTTGTTTGTGTATCATTTCTAACTGTGGCGATATTTTCAACATAGGATTTATGTGACTCTCGGACTTGACGAAACCAATAGACCGTTTTTTGGTATTGAATAGAATTACAAAAAATCATAATGGAAGATCGTATTGTGCTTATAAAAGTTCTTACATTTTGTCATGATTTCCTTGAATTTCTTTTTTTAGGAATCAGACAAAACTGTAACGATGCCTTCATATTTCAAATTTCTCACGGTAATGGCATTTCACGTTTTTATCAAGGAAAGAGTTGATGTTGCAATTGTAGAAGTTGGCATTGGTGGTGAATATGACTGTACCAATATCATTCAGTAAGTCATGTTCCACTAAACTGAAAATGATATTTATCATTCAATTGTTCAAGCAAAAAAATATTTGATATAACCAATACAGAAATCCTGTAGTCTGCGGTATAACTACTTTGGACTACGATCACACAGCAATGCTTGGTTCGACGATTGAATCAATTGCTTGGCACAAGGCAGGTATTTTCAAAAATGGTAGTACAGCTGTCGTTTCTGAACAATCCGACGCAGCAATGCAAGTGATAAGAGAACGAGCAACTTTTAAAAATGTTTGTCTTGAATTCCAAATTAAAAATTAAAGTTTTGAAGATCTTAGGAATATTAATTGCCGGTAGCCATATAGTACATTTCCTAGAGGCTATTTCTTGAAATTCTACTGTTTCAATTTTTTTGATTGAGGATAATTGCTGTTGTTGATCAGAGATATAGAGAAAATCTGTCATGGCGTACGTTATTTCTAAGTTATCCAAAAGACTATTGATATCAAAGTGAAAATTTCTAGTGTGTTATGCACGTAGCTCCATCATTCAATGCATATGATTGGCCAATTAGTGATGTTAAATGTGGTATATCTGGTATCCATCAACAGCTGAATATAACACTTGCATTTCAACTGGTCAAGCTGTGGCTAGAAAAAGTTCGCAGATTTAGTAAGTCAGATATGTACCTTATTTGAAATGTTGATAATATTAAAGATCTCAACCATAAAATCATTGAAAATTTGGATATTATCAATTAACTAGGAATTCCTTTAATGTTATATCATAAAACTGACAAAGTTATGTCAAGTATGGAGAAGTACCAAAATTATTGTTTAATAGTGTTTAACATTCATTAAATTTCATCTTATCAGATTTAATAGTTTTCAGCTGATTTGTTCAAGAATACCCAGTTATTAAATTCAGAAGTGTTGCCTGGTTTTGTTGTACCGCAGAAATTTCTGGATGGTATTCGTTTATGCCGGTGGCGAGGTAGAAGTCAAATAATCAAGCGTGGATCGGTAACATATTATCTTGATGGAGCGCATACACCGAAAAGTTTGGAAGTTAGTTCTGCTTTTTGTTGCATTGAATTTAATTTAACATCTCTTGAGATTAGAGAATTTATATTAGCTAAAAGTGGTGGATTTTATGATTTCATGAGGAAGTTTTATGCTTAAAGTGTTCTTCACTAGTTGCCAATTCATAAATAGGGATCAAAAGCATTGAAAAGTGCCTGGGAAAAAAAATTTAACCTGTTACTACTGTTTCTCTACTTATTTCAGTGTTGCATGAACTGGTTCTTGAATGAAAAACAAAGAGCGAGGAGATCATGGAAATATGATCCATTCCAGATATTGCTATTTCACTGCACAGGCACCAGGAACCCTGCTACATTTCTATCAGAATTAAACGTAGATTTTTAAAAATTTGTCATCAATTGGTAGTACTGCTGAGACTTACACACCAAATAAAAATTTTGCCAGGTTTATTTGTCTTTAACCATTTACCTCCTGTTTCAACTTCTCACCTACTCCCATGGCGTTCTTAGAAAATGTTCGCTTTTTTCCGAAATTAGCTTCAAAGCGCTCTTCAAAAATTTAATCAGATTAAATATCCAATTTAGCGATAGCAAAGTAAAAGACCATATTTTTGATAGTGGTTTTGACAGACATAAATTAAAACACCAAGGGCACATTATAATAGATATCCAGCATATGTAATGGTAGTGTAATGGAGAGATAATATTTTAAGAGTATTTTTATTACAGAAATGTAATTTCAATTTGGCATTATTTTGTCCACCTGGATTGAACCCTGTGACAGATCAACATTCTGATCGAGACGATTACACTTGTTCAGATCGTGAGCAATTGACGAGAGTCGCAAATCATGCCACCATGTGGAGAGATTTTGGATTTGGTGTTTGTATTATCCTTCACTTCTACTTTTCCACTTACAAGCGTTTGCTTTCATGATATATTTGTATGAATTTCAGTCTTTTATTTATATTATTTCATTATGGCATCTGCATTCTATTCTTTCAGCAGTTTTTCTTCACCAAGCACTCTCTCTCTCTCTCTCTCTCTCTCTCTATATATATATTTATATATATATATATATATAAATTCTAACCTTTCTAATTCCTCAAATATATTTTTCATTCACTTTCAGGATTCGAGAGCTGAAGAATTTGATTGTGTACAGAAGGCAATGGAGAGAATTGAAAAATTGAGAATTGCAAAAAATGAAGTCATTGTTTTGGTAACAGGTAGCTTGCATCTTGTTGGTAGTGTCCTTGCTGCTCTTGACTTTCAAGTTTGATATACTAATCCTTTTGATATGAATTTTTATTTTTAAATTGTACTTTGTTAGATTTAATATATTTGATATAATTTTACCAATTCTTCTTGTTCTTAGATATCGTTTTTATATTATTTACTGAATCGTGGCAGATATTAATAATCCAATATGTTTCAACAGCAGTTTCTTATAGAAAAGTTTCTCTTTAAATGATTAAATTTTACTTTTTGCTCTAATCTTTATTACATTCACTAAGGTGCGAGACTTTCGAAAATGGTCAAAGTTTGAAAAGCTCCTTCAAAAAATTAGATTTCTGAAATGTGTTTGGGCATTGCTACATTCTTTTTTATTTCATTGATGTTATACTTCGTTATAAAATCTGTTTTATTATTTGGAATGCTCATTATTTCTTTGGTAATGCTTATACTGTAAAAAAATGAGTATTAAATTGTTTTCAGTAAGGGCATTCAAACATTCACTCATTTCATGCGTGATCGATGAATTTCAGTCCGTAGTTGGAGGAAAAAAGCTTCAACAATTTTTATCCCTAACTCTGAACTTACTTCATTTTCGCCGCTGAAACTTGTTATTTTTGTTTTCGAAATTCGTGCTGACAGAAAGGACCAAACTTCCACAACTGTAATAGTCATAAAATGCAAATCGAATTTTTATACCTGATTATCTGAGTACTTAAATTGGAGGGCCAACCTTTGGTATCCGCTTTTTCTTTCTTTTTTGTCCAAAAAATCAAAAATTGCAATATGTTCAGGGAACATAATGCTTAATTTAATGCTTAGAAATTTTAACAGATCACACCTGCTACTGATTATAATCAAAAAATTGCAAACGATATTGCAAGATATCATATAGCACGAGTTATGTCTGTTATAATAAAATGTTGGGCTTGAATACATGAAATCTTGAAAATAACCTTGAGAGATGTCCAGAAAAAGGTGTTTGTGGTAATAATGCAAATTTTTAAACCCTGTGAAAGTAAATGCAGAAAACTTTTTAAACAGTGAATTTATGGTTCAGTCTCTGCATAGTCCGAAAAAAAAGAAGGTATTCCTCCAGCTTCGGGATGAGATATTTTTGGCAATGATGATTACAAAGTCTTGAAATTGCCAAAATTTTGTTTATTTTTTGATTTTCATTCCAAATCCTTTTTTGTATGCTTACATTTACCTGAGAGTTCTTCGGTTTTTTTGACCCAACCACTTGAAATGAATCATGTTAATCATTGTTATCATTTGATATTAGTCCCATCCATTGATACAAATTAAAATTACATGCAAATTTTTGGTAACACTTATAAATGGTTGAGACGCAACAGTTCTGGTGAACTTTATAACTAAATGTGGTTGACTATTTAGAGAAGGTGTTTAATCTTAGCTAAGGGGTGGAAAGTCATTTCAATTCGGTGCTTTCAGCTATCACAAGGGGCAGGAGATCTCAGTGAGTAAATATTGAATGCCTGATTCGTTTAAAAAATTTCCATCTGAGATCTGCCGAAAGAAAGTAAAGTAGTGGAGGGAAAAAATGTTATCTTTGTTTATTATTGATTAATGACAACAAATTTCAAGTTATGATGAAATAAAGCATATAAATTCAAATTTTGTAAATTTTGTATATATTTTTATCATTTAATCACTTGTTATCATCATGCAGTAGAGACACTGATAAATGAGAAATTTTATAAAGAAAAAGATTCCTAATATTTTTTCTTTCTTTTTTTGCTAATCATTTCCTAAACATTCCAGAAATTTGAAAGCTATTGCAATTTCAATTCTTAGATTACTGCGAGTTTTTAAAATTTTCAATATTATTTCAGTCTCAAATAGTGAGTAATACTTTCTGTTCTTTAAAACCATTTTTTCACCTTAGAAGTAACAGAACTTTTATTTACTTTGATGAGTAATGGGATGACCTTCTTAAAGATCATCAAAGTGTGTTGGAACGTTTGAGACTCCAATAACGCGTTGAAACCAAATGACCCTTAAAATATAGTCTAAACTTCGCTACAATAAGACAAACTGAATTAGAAAAAGAATTATGAATGAAATTTTGATGAAAGCATTATATAAATGATGATTGGTATGGACTGATTAGATTTCAGCTTTTCTGGAGAAATAAAAAAATCAAAAGGAAGGAATCGAAACGGAGACAGAAAAGAAGTGTTGAAGAAAGATGAAAGATGTGCAGTTGATCAAAACATCCAATCTTGATTTGTGGGCAAATACCGCTTTTCGAATATTCTTGCAAGTTTTGCAATGATACTTTAAGTTTTCTTTTTTTTGGAGAGAAGATTTAACATAAAAAGTATTTTGAAAAAGTCTTTAAATTTTGTACAAAAATTTATTAGAATATATTTATGCAAAATCTTACACAACACATTTAAATAAGAATTTCTAATACTCTCTGCATTGCAGAATGTAAAGAATTTGCATTCGTTACATCAACATTTCATCTCTTCTTTATTAAAAATAATTCCACTATTTTCCATATCAAAAAAGTTTTCACAAGGGTTTTTAATAATGTTCCACTAAGTTTTTGTTTGTTTACAGAACAATCACAAATGATCGAGGAGAGCGTAATGATATTATTTGTGTACCGCAGTTGATCGCATTGATCGCTTTTCTTTGTGAGGTAACATTTTTATAAATGCAGTAAAGAGAAAAATGATAAGTAAGATTTGAGCATACCTTGAAAACTAATAATGCCGCTTAAGATGAGCCTGTATAGCAATATAAAGTCAATATTCTACCGATGCACGATTGACACATTCGTCAAAGATTGTAAAATTAGCAATAAGCAGCTTAATTAAATCAGCTTGCGACATTTGACTGATTCGCTCAAATTTACCAAATAAGTTTCAGTCGATCAAATAACTTCTAGCTGGTATGCTTGCGATCATACAAGTTACCAACTAATAACTTGACATTTTTATCAGCGGAATCTGTGACTTTCATTGCAAAAAAGATAAAAAGCATTATTTTTTGAATTTATGCATGTCGATTTCTATTAGATAATTACTGGATGAAAAGGTAAAAGGAAATGATTTCCGTGTATGCACGCTTCGAAATGTCTATAATTTGCTACCTTAAACAAATCTTTTGACAGTTTCATTCACATTTTACTATCCAGCAAGAGTTCTGCTATTCAGAAAAAAGAAGAGATATCCTCTACGCCATATCCCACTTTATTGCTTGAAATGCAACCGGATCAGACATAGTTTGACATTCAATTTCTAGTTGGGTTCTCGGTGAAATCTTTCTCCTCTTAGCTCATGTTTTCAGTAATTTCATTAATGTGTAGGTTGCTGAGCATCAGAGTCGTTTATCATTATCGGAATTTCTTCATTCAAATGGTACAGCAACATTACCTCATCAGTTGGTACATCTGGCAGAATATATTCGAAACTGGGAATTGTTTGTTGAAGCTGCTGTTAAACCCGGTATATATTATACTAAATCAATAACAGATTGAAAGTATGACAAATTTCGAATAGAAAACTTAGAGTATAAGAATACGATATTAATAAGTGTCTGGAACAAATTATGACATATTAAAGTACAATGATATTAGATTATACCCTCTTACAAGTGCTTCTCAAAAAATCCCTCTTAAAACCTATAACAATAATTTCATTGTTTTTCATATTATACCTACAGCAAGCATTTAATTGAAAAAATCTAAATATCGTGTAAATTACTTTGATATTCGATTTAGGGAGCTTCAATTGGAATCGTCGTTTGCTAATACATCCATTACATACCAAAAGTTACGGTTTTGAAACATTTATGGCACTGAAATATCTCGGAATTGAGCTTAAAATCTATGATGAGAAAACGGGACGTGCGGAGTTAGTAGCATGGCTTCGAAGAACATGCAAGGTAAATTAAACAAATAAGATTTTAGTAGTAGAACTTAGTCATTGAAATTAGTGTATATATACAACATCAATATTGTTTTTATTAAAGAGATTTAGCAATTTTAGTTGAAATATATCAAAATGAAATTGGTTTTTTTATGGGAATATGCAACTTTACATGTAGAACGTGTAAAATGTACGTGCATGTCTACGACTTCACGTGCCCTCAACAGTTTTAATAAAATATAAGTTTTTTCAGAAGCAGTACAAATATTATTTAAAGAAATTTTTCTTAACGAAAAATTAAATTTCTTATTTTAAGTTAGACAAGTTAAATTTTATTAATTCAAAACATCCACAAATTTCTGCAACAATTTATTATTCATTTTAGGCTGAGGAAGAAGAAGCTCACTGTCCAATTTTTTTGTGGAAGAAAGCTGAAACGAAAACATCAGATGTTCAAGAATTAAACAACCAAAAATGTCCAATACTCATCCTTGCATCACACTTTTATATTCCAATGTCAACTAATATTCTCGATACACATAATATATTTTATACGACATTTAAAGTAAGCCAAAGAAATCTTTAAGGCCAAAATTTTAATCAAATTTTTTTGTATCAAAAAATTTACCATAATTATTTCCAATTTCTAAGGAAAATGCCATCTGCGATATATTATTTTTTGTCATTCTTTTTGTAATATTTTACAATTATATAAAATAATTTTTTTATTTTCACAAAGTTAAAATTAAATTTTCTATTAATTTAAAAACTCTAAAACAATTGTCAACGAGGTTTATGAAATAATTTGATTTTTGTTATATTATCATTGGAATTTTGAAAGAATTTCTTTTCTTTGTAAACACCTCATTTAAACATTAACTTAAAATATTTCATTACCTAATTTTTTAGAGTAAAAAGTTTAAAGAAGTGTTGGCTTGTCGATATTCGTGTCACGATTTACCACCATTTCGTTGTTTGCAAGTTCAAAAAAGCTTACTTATCACATTGCCAACATATTCTGGTGACATCGCCGCTTACTGCTTGTCAGATGCGGATGATTCAGATATAGCAAAAGATCCTAATTCGCTCGTAACTATGATAACATTCATGAGAAGTGGCACAGAAGCGGTACGTATTCTGAACACATACACATTCCCAGATTTCTGGAATCGGGGAAAAGGAAAGAGAAAATATACAACCTTTCTGTTTGCCACTGCTGCGTTTTCTCTTCTGATATATCATATAAAGAGATATCTATTGATTTCAGTTTTTTAAATGTCAACTTTTGAAATGTGAGCAATTCTAATTTCATTTTTTTTGCAGGAATCAGTCAAAATCCTTCATGAGCTATATGTCCCGCTCTTTCACGGGTTACCCAAGAGAACAACTAACCTTGCTGATGCGTTGTGCAAGACAGTACCTCATATCGATAAGTTATTCCAACCTGATGGATTCAGTGACTTGGGAACATTAGGACATGAACCATCCTATATTGTTGGGCCACGGTTAACTACAAGTATACAAAATATCGATCGTCTAGAAGTTATGCACACTCCTGATCCTGATGAAATTGAGTAAATAATTTATATATTAGTGATCGTCTCAAAATATTAATCTTACAATAAACTTCTAAATTGCAGGGTAGTGAAGCGAATCCCATCAGAAAAAAGAAATTTCAATTGCGCTTGAAAACTCAAATGCCTTAAGATTTCAAACTTTTGTTTATGAATAATAAATTGCAGGGTGGTGAAGCGAATCCCATCAGCTGTTGATAAAATGTCCATCCTTGATACGCCTTTTCTTGTCATCATTTGGGACAATAGTAGAAATGTACCGCTCTACATTGCACGTATTGCAGATCCCGTAGCAAAGGTCAATTTTAAACATTGTGATGACATCTCTGACATTTTCCTTATTCAACGGTTTTCGCCTTTACTACGCGTTTACTTGAATTTTTTTATTTCTTTGGTGCTTTATTGGAGAAGAAAACTTATCGATTTCTGATGACTTATCCATGCAAATAAGGCTCAGAGGGATATCGATAAGATATTTCACAGCTAACTTTTGCAGCAGTAAAGAAGAACAAAAAAATAATGTAAGATTATTTTAGACTACAAACATGCAAGTTGATGCAGCTGAAGAAATGGTACCAGCTAATTATTCCAAAAAATTCTTCTGGAAATTGTTGAATCCAATGCGCCACGCATTTGGACTTGGCAATAATGAAGACAATTTGGATCGGTATGAAACTGCAACTAATTTACAATAATGTTTAATTACTATTGTAGTATTAAATATTGTTAAATGATATTTAGATTGGCACTTTGAAATTACCGAAAGTTTTTTTCATATTTTAATTATTTTTCTCATGTTTATTAATCATTTTACACATGGTGTCAACAATATACAAAATTTCATGGGAGACAATATTTAATTTCGAAAAAAGAGTGAAAATAGACTCCACAGAGTTGCAAAGATCACGCGGTGCTTCACAGAGATCATGTGGTACTTGACTGAACTATATTTTGCTCATTAAGGAAGTATTGAAATAAGTAACCAAATAATGGATCTCGAAAATGGAAGATCATTTGTGAATTTACGCTACGTTTGTATTAAGCGTTCTTAAATGTCGGTAAAAAAATGAATATTCACATTTCTATTGAAGAGATGTATAAACTTGTAGGCTTTGTTTGACTTACATGTTGTTGTTTTTGTTGTTGTTGTTGTTGTTACATTTGTTGTTGTTTGTTTGACTTACATTTGTTGACTTACATTGCTTGACTTATTTTGATGTCATAATTGAATTCCTGAAAACCACTTTAACATAGGTTGTTTTTTACAATGATTAAATTTAGGTCGAGAAATGGACATAAACTATTTGGTTTCAGTAAATGGTTCCTTGCATTGCGAGTATAAGTGTGATAGTTCGCCTGAATATTTTTACACGAGCATCGAAACTTTGTACTTTTCAAATTTTTTCTCTTTCATCTTGCCTTTGTTGACAAACGATAAGAATTATGACAACAAATGTGACAGCAGCAAGCAAATAGAAAATGGATTTTCTCTAATAGAAAATGAACATTCTGTTTCATTTTTTACTGAAATTTAAGAACGCCTGTTACGGGGAATCATAATGTCACTTTTTTCAAAAATAATTTTTCAATTTCTGAGATATGAAACAGAATGGTATCATTTACAGTGACCGTTAATAAATGTGCTTCTAATAAGGTTCTGATGTCTTTCAGAAGAATTTTGATAAGTCACAATCACGTTCATAATGATATATCGAATTTACGACATTCATGCAAAACCGATCTTAAGATCAATATTGAGGACTTGCAATGATTTAAACTACTAACCCATCTTTAACTTGATAGTAGGAGTTAAGGGCTTGTGATCAGTAGTACGTTAATGAAAAGTTTTGTTTGCTTAGTTAATTCAAAAAGTCTCAATGAATTAAGAATTAAAAGTGTGAATATCATATATTGCAGATATTTTCGTTGCTTATCGCCAGTATTTTCGTCGGTTATTCTCAAAGTTTTCTTTTTTTTTTTTTTTTTTTGAAAAACAATTTCAGTATTTTAAAGGTTTAATACATTTGAGAAATTAAATTATAATTTTGTATTTAGTGTAAAAAGAAAGAATTGAAAGGGTCATTCAATTATTCAAATTGTTTCCATTTTTAAATCAATGGAAAAAACATTCTCGTTATGTGCCTTAGGTATAATTATACTTCTAAAAGCACGATATTCTAGCCTATCCTAGGAGTTTGCAAGTTTACTTTGTGCCAATAGCATAATAGATCTGTGGGTTAGATAATTTTCATTAAGATTGCGTTGAAATTGAGATAAAAACATCACGTACCGTTCAGATGTGCTTTTGTTGCGGGGTGGGAATGGTTGTCGCATGCGTGATTGACGATTGGTGTTAGAAACGGACATCTAATAGTAGCGTGAATTCACCGGTAATGTGCCAACTTTCAGCGTGAAGAATACTGCACTGACGGGAAATAAGCAGAGTGAACTGAAAATAGCTTTCCATCAATTTAAAGTATATATGAGAGTTGGAATTCTTGCAGCTCCTTTCCATTAATAATTGCTGTTCCATTCTTTCCAAGATTTTCATGTTTCTCGGAAAATTACGACAGTTCATCCTCTCGGAAAATTTCTCGGAAAATTACGACAGAATTATAATTTTCATTGTAATGATTAATAATGATTTTATTGACTAAAAATTGTATCTAAACGTAATTAGGTTATGATCAATCAATTCATATTTTATAGAAAAATATTAAAAAATTTTCAGTATACCCCTGCGCTTATCAAGGAATAACACATGAAAAATGTTTATGAAAGGATGAGGGATAGGATATTTAAAGCTGAGGGAACTAGCTCTTACCAGTACTGATTGAATTCAGGAATGTTATATTTGTTTTTCATTCACTTTTCTCTTTTGGCTCGTTCCCATCTCAATCTCTCATCACCTCGTCATTTTAAAAATCTTACCAAATTGAATTATTCTAGTTGATTGTGTCCAAAAAAGAGTGAAATGTTTTCGAGCGGTGTTGAATCTACTTTTTTGTCATTCTTTTATTAAATATATTAAATTTTATAATAATTTCTTTTTCAAATTTCAACAAGTTATTTAATTACCAAACAATCATTCTTTGTTTTACAGTTTTAAGTTTATTTCGCACTTTTTTGTATTGAAAACTTGCTATCATACTACTGCTGTTTCGAAAAATAATATAAGATTTAGGTTTAGTCATGAATAAATCATGTCGAGCTTATGGTGACTGTTTAGTAACACAAATCATGTGTTCAGGATGCATAATCGCTGTTTAAGCTTATTAGTTACGCTTTCATTCGTGAATGTTTTAGTACGTAAATAATAACGAGTGTTATATTTTAGAGAAGGGTATGGAAAGCCTATGGCTAGTTATTATTCTATTAGCATTTCCTAACATGATTGATTCTGCAGTAAGCAAAAAATCGGTTATTACATCACTGCATGCAAAATGGTCGCAGACTTCATTTATTGCCGAAATTAGGTGTGTTGTAAATTAAAAAATTCTGTTTTTTCGAGAAGTCAACATAGCGAAGTAAGATGGGTTTGGAGTTGATTTTTATTGAATTTCAAGAAATTTAAAAATGCATATTTTTATCCTCAACTTTTCATTTCTTATGTATTGCAATTTGCAGTGAATTTATGGCCCAAGAAAGTGAAAGTTTATTCTGGGCTTATATAGATGAAATTGTTGAGAAACTCAATGTCGACGAGTGGCATACATGTAAGTTGTTCAATATTTAAATAATATAGTAAGGTATCAAGAAAATTTGACCAATTATGTAATCAAAGCATAAAATAGAAGTGCTACGTTTGTTTGCGAGCATTTAAGTGCGTTGCTTAGTGAATGTTGTTCATTCAGTTGGACTTGTGATAAGTCTAGTGTGTCCATCTATGTTATACAACTTCAGTCAAATATGACTGTTTACTTTAATTCAACAGGTTGATTTTCCGTCTCCTTTACATTTTTGATTTTAATTTGGATAAAAATGGCCAATATAATAGTTTATAGAAAATTTTTGAGATTTAAATAGCAATATTCTTCTAAATAGAGTTTCATCCATTTCGAAATTTTGTGTATGAGTCATTGCTATATTAGTTGCTAACTTTTGAAAACAATTTTAGACTTATAGAACTTTTTTATTTGTAACTACAAAGTTAAGTTTCAGATAGTGATGCTAGACAATACGATTTATCTGTGCGCTTAGCAGGCTATTTGTTACAAGAAGCTCGTGTGAATCTTTTAAAATTCGCTCTGTCTTTACGAGCTCACTCACCAACTGTGTTGCTTTTTCAGAGCGTTAGAATTTCCTCTTTTATTTTAGATTTTTCAGAAATTTATACAATGTAGTAATGCTGTAATGTTATTGTTTTAAAAGAGAAATCATGTTAATATTAGTTCTTGCCTGAGTCACATCACGCATATCTCAATTTTTTGAAAGATGAGATCGCCAAACATTGCAAAGAAAGAAAGTAACGGAAGAGTATACTGAAACTCTTTATATATTTAACGGGATATCTTTCAGTACTTATATGTTTTTTTTGTTTTAGTTAGGTGCTGAAAGGAAGAAGTCATGTGCTGCGTTTGCTGATGTTCATGGTACTATAACATGTGATGTAAATGATTTGGAAAAGGTTATCGAAAATGATGTGAAGTACGTTTTGCTTTTTAATGATCGAATATTCGCAACTGAGACGTTCATCATTGTTACCTAATATATTCCATTTTATTCGTATGTTTTGAGGAATGCGGCACCAACAATATATTCTATTGATCATGTATTTCCGGCAACTAAAGAACATAATGTAACCTTAATTGTATATGGTGAATTGGCTACTGCATCATGGAGAAAGTTTCATTTAGCTGCAAAAGCATTATCGAGAAGTGGCAAAGTCAAATATGTTCTTCGACATTTTGTTAAAATAAGTTTTTGATAGTTGCACTTTTCTTGATTCACAGTTGAATTATTACTAAATTATTCATATATTTTCTGTGATATTTAATAGAATTCTTTGCATATATATTATTAAAATAAAAAAGTGCTAGCGTTTTTTCCGATAATTTACTGTGTCCAAATCCAAGCTTTAGGATGTTCGTGACGATAAGCTTTTGTTGTCGGGTTATGGGGTTGAATTAGCTATCAAAAGTACGGAATACAAAGCGGTTGATGACAGCAATACTGTAATTGGTAAGTTGATAATTTCTTTTATAACTGTGTTCATCGTTTTTTAATTGTTTGATTGTTATTTAGTAAATCAAGAAATTAGAAATCCAGAAGTAATGCTTTTGCAGATAAAGTAGCAATGGAGGATAATTCAGAAGAATATACGGATAACGAAGATGATAACTTTGGATTTATTTTCAGTACATTGCGGTAGATGTTGTGCTTTTTTAAGTCTTTGAGAAATTTTCTAAATTTATTTAATATGATGGTGTTTCATATGCCTAAACGCTCAGTTAAATTTGTTAAACTGGGAAAGAAGATTTATCAGAAACATCACTAATGTAAAGCGTTGTCAATCAGTGCCATTTTTTAGTGTTGTTAATCTTATTAATATCATTAAAAATTATAAATGATTATAAGTAAGTAATATCCACTACTTTTGCAGCCAGAATTAGGTAATTTTAGGAATTGAGACGAGTATTTCATGGGCTCTTTAATTGCAGCAGGCTGCATGGTGATTTGAAAGAATCGATTGAAC